GGAGCTATGTGGTCAGGAAGCAGGGAACAATGATATCTATCTATCATCTCTATCATCTATCTGTCATCTATATCCATCATCTATACCTAACATCTATATCTATCAATCTATCCATCATCTATCTTCCATATCTATCATCTATACCTATCTATCTATCTATCATCTATCATCTATCTATCTCTATACGTCTATCATCTATGTCTATCTATCATCTATGTCTATCTATCATCTATATCTATACTTATATCTATATCTATCTATCCATGATCTATACCTGTCTATCTATCATCTATCCATCTCTCTCTCTCTATCTAGCATGTATCAATTATCAGGTGGCACACACCCCCTAGGAGTACCCTGATGACTGTACTCTTCCTCACGCTGTCTCAAGGTTGTAACGGGCTTGGATGACCAGACTTATTATTAGTTACAACACAGAGACTTATTACTAGTTATGCATGCTCGGCCTTATCTTATGCATTCCCCGGTTAGCTCTTGTAACTTAATATAACCTGTTTCTCTTCATCTGCATTTTGCCTCAGGGGTTTTTACCTTACTTCTGTATGCCCTACTGCATGTATGCTGGCTGGTGGACGCCTGGCTGGCCCTAGGCACCTCTCTTTTCTCACTGAACCTAAATTCCTCCTCCTATCTATTCTCTGCTCACCAGCCCAGCCTATTCCTCTACTACCTAGCTATTGGCTGTTCAGCTTTTTATTAGAACAATCAGGTGCCTTTAAGCAGGCAAGGTAAAACAACAACACTCCTTTACATAATTAAACAAATACAGCATAAACAAATGTAACACACCTTTGCCTAGTTAAACAAATGCAACATAAACAAATCAACATACCTTTACATAGTTAAATACTCCACAACATAAACAAAGTAACACATCTTTACATAGTTAAAGAAATATTCCACAACACAAGGTTGTGATCTCTGGGGATCTTGGTAGGGCCTCCAGAAATGTTGTGGGGGTGTCCACCAAAGAATACAGCTTAAACATGAGTTTAAACCAACAGAAAGTTTTTGTTAGCCATCCAGCGATTACACTGGGTGTTTGGGATCCCAGTATAGCACAGAGCCTTTCTCGGGGGAGCAGAATTACAGGAGCCAAAAGGCAAGGTTAGTACATTCCCAGAACGTTGATGGATTAGTCCTTCGTTTTCGTTTTTTGGCCGATGGTATTATCTTCATGCTAAGTTTTTATGGGCTGGATGATACTTCCATCACAGAGTCTGTTGTGCAAGGGCTGGGGATCTGTTAACAATACTGAGACGTTTAACTTTTCCAAATATTGCAAGACATGTAACAATGTTGCCCTAACTGTGAGTGAAATCTAGCCTTGTTATTTTTGAATTTTAAACAACACTGACTAAATTTCTGTGTCAGTATCAATAAGGGATACACATGTGAAAGTTCTTTGACACTGAGGACTTGTGAGACAGCTTAGTTGGTAAAATGCCTGAGGATCTCTAGCCCCTGTGTGCACCTGCACCCACACTCATATACACGCACACGTGTGTTGTCTCATACACACACGTGTGCTCTCTCTCTCACACACACACACGCATACGACGCACGCATGCACACATGCAGACACACGCATATGCACACACATTTCTTCAGCACCAGATGTGGTGGTATACAACTGTAACCCCAGCACTTAGGAAGCTGAGGCAGAAGAATCACAAATTCAAGGTCAGCCTGGGTTGCCTAGCAACACCTTGTCTCAAAACACCAGATAACACACACAAAAATAATAAATGAATACATAAAAACCTTCTTTGGTAGCTTCTAGGGGTGTGAAGGGATTCTGACACTCAAGTGTTTGAGGACTGCTATGGGCTGATGTCTCCCCATTCTTATGTACCCATTCTATGTAATGCATTTCATATGACAATTCTTTATTCTGAGTCATGGAGACCAGAGCACTGGGTATTTTCCTGTTTTCACAGCACTAAAACTACTAGGTTCTCTGACGACCCGACTGCGGTTTAGCATTTTAATGTGCTGGACTTTCACCGCCTTGAGCCACTGGTCAGTTAGTTACCCCTGCAGGAAATTGGGATTTGCTGCCCTCGGCCTGTTGAATTCAGCCTGCCATGCTCACAGCTTTTGTTTGTGTTTTCTGTAGTAAAAACTGTATCCCACTCCCTTCTCCCACCTCTCCCTCTCCCTCCCTCTCTCTCCCTCTCCCTCCCTCTCTCTCTCCCTCTCTCTCTCTCTCTCTATCTCTATCTATCTATCTATCTCCTTTCTCTTTTTTCCTCTCTCCCTTTCTTTTTCATTTTTCTTTTCTTTCTTGTTTTTCTGTTTCTCACCCCCATCTTCCTTTTGAGTCAGCATAATGACATTTTGAAGCAACCCTTTCTTTCTTGTTCCCTATAATTTCCTCACTAAGCACATTTTAAAAAATACACTGCCTCATTTTCTACATTCAAGTCAATGACGTCACTGTTAATCATATCAGGCTATGAAATGGGTATTACTTTCTCCCCGTCGGGAAGGAGCCCTGTCTGTCACGCGTCTTGGTAGCATAAAGCTTTTCTAAAGACGCTCATGTGCCTGCCAGTCCTGACAACTGTGTCTCCCATTTACATCTCGGCCTTGCTGTTTTTGTCTGCTGAGACCTCGGCTCCGGCTCTCAGCCGTTCTCAAACCGTTACTGTCTTCTGGAAGCAGCCCTCACAGCTGTGGCCTTTGTTGACAAATCGTTTCATCTCCTCTGGGCCTTAAATTATTTCCTCTGAAGTGAAAAGTCACTGGATGTTTCCAGAGACTATCTCAGGGTCATAACGTGGCTGCTCCGAGCTCTGAGTGGTTCCAGGGTCTCCACCCTCTATCTTCCAGCTCTGCTCAGAGGACGACGGAAAACTCAACCTTGACGCTCTAGCTTTCCTACAGCTCTATTGTAACTTTCAGGGTTCAGGATTAGCTTTGTACTGAGGTGGTTTTCCTGATCTGGACAGTTGGTTTTTAGGCCTAAAAACTGAACAATGACAAGTCTTAAATTCTTTAATAGAATCTTGCTACAGATACACAAAGGTGGTTACCTCTGTCTTGTCATGAGAAATCAGTTGTTAATTGCTGGGGTGTCTCTCCTCTTGGTCCTTCTCTTGGATCTTTTTTTTTTCTCTCATTTATTTATTTATTTTTATTTTTAAATTTTAATTAGAAACAAGGTTGCTTTACATGTCAATCCCAGGTCCCTCTCCCTTTCCCCCCTCCCACGCCATCCAACCAACCCCCCCCCCCATATACCCTCCTTTCCCTAGGGAGTGTGAGGCCCTCCATGGAGGTGTCCATAGTTTGTCATTTCATCCAGGGCAGGGTCTAGACCCTCCCCCAAGAGTCCAGGGTGAGAGTGCATCTCTCCTTGTGGAACAGGCACCCAAAGTCCATTTGTATGCCAGGGATAAATCCTGATCTACTACCCAAGGTCCCCATAGATTACTTAGGCCTCTTCACTGACACCCACATTCAGGGGGTCTGGATCAGTCCCATGCTGGATTCCTTTTTACCTGGGACCTGGATGCTCTGTGCTAGTTTCCCTTCAAGCACACTGGGTCCCTTAGGACCTTATGGCACCAGCCCTGAAATCCCAGCTGTTTGGGAGGCTGAGGCAGGAGGATCACAAGCCTGAGGCTACAGAGCAAGTGCATGTCAGCCTGAGCGACTCACTGAGACTCAGTCTCAAAGGAGAGGCAAAAAGAAGACGGGCACTGTGGCTTACGGGAGAACCATCTGGCTGTAGCCCTGGGTAGCCCAGCTCTTCTGGTCTGACCTCCTCTTCCCAGTGTCCTCTGTGCTCTTTGCTCCTCTGTAGCATTTACATAACCCAGTTTAACAACCAACTGCCTTTCTTCCTGTTTTGGCCCCCACTGTCCCTTCTGTCTCCCTGTTAAAGGGATACGGGTGAGGGTGCATTCCTATGCACCTGAGGAGTCTTGCAGAACTGAGCTTGGGTTTCCCCTGCCATCTGGGTCTGGCTGGGTTGCGTCTTCTCTTTGATGTCAGAATGTGTTTTCATTGAGCTTCACTGCGACTTCTTTGCTTTAGTTTGTTGTTGTTGTTGTTTCTCCTAAGCCGTGCACATTTTTTCTTGAGCTTATTTTGCTTCTTTGTGCTGTTAATTTTCATTGCTTCCGACTAGGGGTGGGGCTGAGGGTGAGATTTGGCTTCTGACTGGGGAGGGGGGGTGAGATTTGGCTTCTGACTGGGGAGGGGGGGTGAGATTTGGCTCCAGTAGTACTCATATTTTTCCCAAAGTCCCACATTCTTAGGAACTCATAGGTACATTCTCTCTCCCTCTCTCCTCTCTCTTTCCCTCTCTCTCTTTCCCTCTCTCTCTTCCCTCTCTCCTCTCTCTCCCACTCTTCCCCTCTCCTCCCTCTCCCTCTCTCTCTCCCCTCTCTCCTCTCTCTTTTCCTCTCTCTCCTCTCTCTATTTTCTCTCTCACACCCCCTCCCTCTCTCTCCCCTCTCTCTCCTGGCTCTCTCCCTCTCTCTTCCCTCTCTCCTCTCTCTTTCCCTGTCTCCCCTCTGTCCCTCTCCTCTCCTCTCACTCCCCCTCTCTCTTCTCCCTCCCTCCTTCTCCTCCTTCCTCCCTCTCCCTCCCTCCCTCTCTCTCTCTCTCTCAAAACCACTCTTGAAAGGCCATTGATGTTGCGGGCAGAGGACGTCAGTAGGACATGCTCAGGAACCCAGCCCTGCGCAGTTGTGAGCCTGGCCATCTGGAAGTTGCCTCTTACTCAATGAAATGGAGTAAACACTGTCCATTATGAAATCCACCACGCAGGCTGCCAGGGACGAATGGGATCCCACCCAAAGCCAATCGCTGCTCTGACAGGGTAGTTGGCTAGTGCTGCCTGAGACTGCTCCAGCCTCCCCCGTCCTTGATGTCACAATTCAAAGGCTGCTGCCTGCCTGGGAAGTTGAAGAAAGCTCAGCAGGTTTTCTCTGTGTGTCCTACAGCCAGGCCCCTGTCTGATGGCGTTTATGAAAAAATACCTCCTCCCCATTCTGGTGCTCTTCTTGGCCTACTACTACTACTCTACAAAAGAAGAGTTCAGACCAGGTGAGTAGTACCACTGTGTCCCCTTTGGAGGAGCAGGCTTAAAACACGGGGATGCTGGAATGTTCCTAAGGATCTAGCTATATGTTCTTGATCCCTAAGTCACTGAGAAAGAGAGAACCCTAATGTGGGGTAACTCTGTATCCTCCAGCTACAAGCTATGGGCAGGAGGAGACAGAGAGGGGTAAAGCCACACAGCCAAGTTGGCCACGCTTTGGTCGGCACCCAGCATGGAGAGCAATTTCAGATCTACAGAAGAGAAAGTCATATCCAGACCCATGGCTCAGCCAGAGTAGCTGTGCTCCATAGAGAGACTGATGGCTGAGAGGCCAAAATGAAAATTAAAAAGGGTTATGACGTCGATGGCCATTTTGTGGTGCTTTTTAAAATTCCCTTTCGATTTAGCAAAATTAGATCATGCCAGAAGTGTTGAACTCATGCAGTTTATCCGAACTGGCCTTGTCTCTGTGAAATCTACACATGGAGGTTTCCTTAGGAATGATGGCAGGAAGGCTCGGCTCTGGACATCCAGGCCAAACCCATCTTAAAGCCTGTTTATGAACAACTCCAAGTGTCACTCTGGTAGTTTGCAGCATGAGGCAAACTGATGTGGGCTCGCAGCTTTTAAGTGTGGATGGTAAAAAACAGGGCTTTTGGGGTACTCATAGCTCTTGTGGTCCCCAGAAATGCTCCAAGGGAAGAAAGTAATTGTCACGGGGGCCAGCAAAGGGATCGGAAGAGAAATGGCATATCATCTGTCAGAAATGGGAGCCCATGTGGTGTTGACCGCAAGGTCAGAGGAAGGTCTCCAGAAGGTAAGCATTCCCTGCCCACAGACAGGTGTGCCTTCCTGTGCCCAGCTTTTAGTCTTACACATACACACAAAGGCTTGCCCCATGACCTGCACTCTCGTATGCAGTTACAAATATAGGAATATAAAACTACTGCTTTTAGGTACACACACACACACACACACACACACACACACACACACACACACAGATTCTTATCTAAACAGCCCTATGAACAAACTCTCATTTAAGCCCCAGTTACTCCCAAACTACACATGAAAGCCCACAGGTAAGATGCCACCACATCCGCTATGTCTCTGCAGGTGGCATCCCGCTGCCTTGAACTCGGAGCAGCATCTGCCCACTACATCGCTGGCACCATGGAAGATATGACGTTCGCGGAGCAATTTGTTCTCAAAGCAGGAAAGCTCATGGGTAAGGGTCCACCCCCCCTTTTCCTCCTCTGGGCTTAGAGCTCTGGGGGGAGTGGGAGGGGGGAGGGGCAAGAACAGGGCCGGCTCCGAGTGGTCTCTCTCAACCCAGCCATCTCTTTGCAGGCGGACTGGACATGCTCATCCTTAACCACATCACTTACACCAGTATGAACTTCTTCCGCGACGAAATCCACGCTTTGCGCAAAGCCATGGAGGTCAACTTCATCAGTTACGTGGTCATGAGCGTGGCCGCCTTGCCCATGCTGAAGCAGAGCAATGGCAGCATTGTTGTTGTCTCCTCCATAGCTGGTGAGTGGCTCAGGGGCCAGGGTGGAAGCCGAGAAACAGATAATGCTGGGATTATGCCAGGTGAGAGCACAAATGTTTCCATGCCAGGAAGTCACACTGCATGAACTTGAAATACTCATGGTGATGTCGTGGGAAAGCCGATAGTTCACAGTTCGTGGGGGAGGGACTTGGGGGTGTAAACTCAGCTGAAGGACACGCATGTTGGAGAAAAGAGACATCGAGGAACCAGTGGCCCCCAGAGTAAGGAGTGGTCAAAGCAGGGCTACAAAATCCCTGAAAGGAACAGACAAAAGCAACAGTTCAGGATGACCAAAGGAAACCTGATGCGTGCGCCAAGCCTGGGAGAGGACAGGGACAAGAAGAGGGGCTGGGGGCATGGCCAGTTCCCAGAGACCTGGTCATAGTGGGTGGGAAAGTCTTTGCTTCCATCATAGCCAAAAGGGTGGTGAGGTCAGTGGGTACAAAAACAGAAGAAAGAACAGAATACCTTAAGGATATGCAGAAAGATGGTTGGCTAGGAGAAACCAACTGAAGACTAGCAACGGAGAGGAAAGTTGCTCTAGATCAGTGGCTCCCAACCTTGCTAATGCTGTGGCCCTTTAATACAGTTCCTCCTGTTGAGGTGGCCCCCAACCATAAAATTATTTCGTTGCTACTTCGTAACTGTGATCTTGCTACTGTTATGAACAGCAGTGTTTCTCAGAGGTGAGGATCCCTCCTGGATTCAGGGTAGAAGTACTACACATGTTTGTTGATTAGTAAAGATGCGTTTGAAAGGTCAGAACACAGCGATATAAACCAGCCTTACAAATGCAGTGCTTAGAATATATTTTTTAAAATGACCTTGGAGACCATGGGCTGTTAAATACTTCACAAATGTCAGTTCTTCTTGAACTAAATAAGGCCATCAATGTGCTAAAGCACCCTCCTCTCTGGCCCAGGAAAGGCCTGCGTGGATAAAGGGACGGTGTGTCTGTGCCAACGGCCAGCAGAGAGATTGATATGCACCCCTGTGCTTCCAGCACAGACTCTGGCCCTTCCTCGCCCACAGACTTGCTGGGCTGAAAGCAAAGGAGAGCTCCCAGATGCATACTGAGTGGGAGGGTGCTGGGCACATACCCAGTGAATCCTCTGCACTGGCCAAAACTCCAGAACATCAATCATGGTGTGGGTGGCTCTAACGAGCCCCTATTCCATTGATGAATGGAGACATACATACAGCCCATGCAAAAGCTGCTTCACCTTTTGCCTAGAGAATTTAACTTTTGTGATCTAAAGAATCCACAAGCGCTTGGCGGGAGGAGCAAGGATTACTGTAGACCCTAAGGGTCTGATGGAATTCTAATAACCTCTGTTTCCGTACATTCACAGCGTCTACGGAATAATACTTAGTAATTCCCATGGGCTCTGGGCTCTGAGTGGTAGAAAAAGAGTTGTGTCTCTCTCCCTGTGTCATTTGTGTAGAGTTCAGTGCCTGGAGGTCAGCCCTTTTGAGTTAACACACATCTCTGAATTCACAAATTAATTTCTCACCCTAACAGAAGGGTATTGTGCTCCATGGTGTACTGTTTTATATGGTGTTTTTTCTATTTTGTGCATGTGTGTAGTGTTTATGTACATGAACAAGTGTATGGATGATACCAGATGCCTTCTCCAAACACTATCTGCCTTCTGTTTTTGGAGGCAAGATGAGAGCATCAGAACCTGGAGCTCACTGATTTGGCTAGACTAGCTGACCAGCAAGCCCCAGGGATCCCCTGTCTCCTCCTCCACAGTGTTGGGGTTACAAATGTATACCTGGTTTATTTTTCTTTTTTCTTCTTAATGTAATTCTGAGAGTCTGCACTCAGGTCCTCACGCTGGAGTGCCAAGCGCTTTACTGATGAGTCATCTCCCCAGCCTTGGTGTCTTCTTTTAAGCAATCAGGAAGTATGTTCAGTGATCTTTACTTTTAAAAATCTGCATCTCACTAAACATCAAGCTGACCCTGAGTTCAGAAAAAAAATCTACTGAGTTAGAGTTGTAATCACTTCCAGTGCTTTTTTTTTTTTTGCTGAGTTGTAACACAGAGCAACTGTTCTTTCCTGATGCATTTCTGGGTGTTGTGCCACACAGAGGGCTTGCACTCTCTCTTCAGGCTTGGTTATATCCTTAGTCCTATCAGAGATGGCGCTGATGCTTGCATCTGCAGCTCAGCATTTTTCTGGCCCTACTGAACAAGTTCTTGTCTTTATCACGTGCTGTTACTTTAACTTTAGCTCCTATGACTAAAGTCCAAACTTATCGTGCCTTAAGCAAATCTATAAATTCATTTTCTCCTATGAACGGCCTAGGGTAGGCAGTCAAGGCTGATAGGATAGTCAACACTCCATGAAGCTGTCCAAAAACCAAGCAAGACAGGACTACCAGTCCTGTGGTTGTTATGTTCATCTGCAGGTCCAAGAAGGCTTGCTGTTATGTCCGAATTCTAGCTACAGAAAATGAAGGGCACATTATGAAACTTGTAACCATGAGCCACAGCAGGCAGCAGATGGGATCTGGTCAATATTCAACAAACAACTCAGGGCATCGTCTACAAGAGAACACAAATAATGCTGACTCACTGCCTCGCACACCGTCCATGCCAAGTAACACATAAGAGCATAAGAAAATGATCCAAGCACGCCTATAAAGGCCAGAAATCAGGAGGCAGGGGGATTTCCATAAGTTCCAGGCTATTCTGGTTCTGGGTTACAGACTGAGACTTGGGCTCAGGGAGAGAGAGGGGGGAGGGAGGGAGAGAGAGAAGGGGGGATACAAATGGAGGAAGGAAGGAAGGAAGGAAGGAAGGAAGGAAGGAAGGAAGGAAGGAAGGAAGGAAGGAAGGAAGGAAAGAAAGAAAGAAAGAAAGAAAGAAAGAAAGAAAGAAAGAAAGAAAGAAAGAAAGAAAGAAAGAAAGAAAGAAAGAAAGAAAGGCCTACAAGAAAATGTCTTCCCAGACCCACTCTACGGTACATATTCAAGGCTACCACATGAATAAATCCTTGACCCCAAATGTGGTGCAGAGGACCAGCAGGCAGGAGGAGGGATGAAAAAGCATTTCTGAAACTGAGATGCTACTGCTTGAATTTTATGTTTAAAAAACATAGCTGGATTTGCAGAAAACACTAGAAAATATTTGGGAAAAGCCCACCTGCCCTTGCTTAAAATGGCTCTTTTTTTATTTAAATTAGAAACAAGTTTGCTTCACATGTAAATCCCAGCTCCCTCTCCCTCCCTTCATTCCCTGCCCCCCCCCAAATCCCCAACCCCTCACCCAATCCCCACTCCATTCTCCAGGGAAGGTGAGGCCCTTCATGGGGGATCTCCAAAGTCTGTCATATCATCCAGGGCAGGGCCTAGGCCCTCCCCCATGTGTCCAGGCTAAGAGAGCATTCCTCCATTTGGAATGGGTTAACAAAGTTCATTTGGATGCCAGCGATAAATACTGATTTATTGCCCGAGGTCACAAAGAATGCTGAGGCCTCCTCACTGATACCCACATTCAGGGGGCCTGGATCAGGCCCGCACTGGCCTCTCAGCTATCAATCTGGGGTCCATGAGCTCCCCCCTTGTTCAGGTCAGCTGTTTCTGTGGGTTTCACCAGCCCGGTCTTGACCCCTTTGCTCATCACTCCTCCCTCTCGGCAACTGGTGTCCAGGAGTTCAGCTCATGTTTAGCTGTTGGTGTCTGCCTCTGTTTCCATCAGCCACTGGATGAAGGCTCTAGGATGGCATATAAGGTAGTCATCAATCTCATTATCAGGGGAGGGCATTTAAGGTAGCCTCTCCACTATTGCTTAGACTGCCAGTTGGTGTCATCCTTGTAGATCTCTGGAAATCTCACTAGTGCCAGATCTCTCCTCAAACCTGTAATGACTCCCTCTATTAATGGTGTCTCTCATCCTGCTCTCTTCCATTCTTCCCCCAACTCAACCTTCCTGCTCCCCCATGTCCTCTTCTCCCCCTCTCTTTCCTTCCTCCCTCTCCCCTTCCCCATGCTCCCATTCCCCTCAGGAGATCCTGTCCCTTTCCTCTTCTCTGGGATGCCTATCTCTCTTAGGGTCCTCCCTGTTTCCCAGACTCTCTGACGGAGGGGTTGTAGGCTGGCACTCCCCTGCTTCATGACTAAAATCCATATATGAGTGAGTACATACTGTGTTTGTCTTTTTGTGACTGGGTTACCTCACTCAGGATGGTTTCTTCTAGTGTCACCCATTTGCCTGCAGATTTCAGGATTCCATTGTTTTTTTTTTTCCACTGAGTAGTACTCCACTACGTAAATGTACCACATTTTCTCTATCCACTCTTCAGTTGAGGGGCATCTAGGCTGCTTCCAAGTTCTGGATATTACAAATAATGCTGCTATGAACATAGTGGAACAGATGTCCTTGTTGTATGAATGTGCATCTTTTGGGTATATGCCTAAGAATGGGATTGCTAGATCTTGTGGTAGACTGATTTCCATTTTCCTAAGGAATCTCCATACTGATTTCCAACGTGAGTGTACAGGTTGGCACTCCCACCAGCAGCGGAGGAGTGTTCCTCTTTTTCCACATCCTCTCCAACATAAACTGTCATTGGTGTTTTTTATTTAGCCATTCTGACAGGAGTGAGATGGTATCTCACAGTTGTTTTGGTTTGTATTTCCCTAATGGCTAAGGATGTTGAGCACTTTCTCAAGAATCTCTCAGCCACTTTAGACTCCTCTATTGAGAATTTTCTATTTAGTTCTGTAGCCCACTTTTTAATTGGATCCTTTGGAGTTTTGAAGACTTGCTTCTTGAGTTCTTTGTAAATTTTGGAGATCAGCCCTCTGTCTGATATGTGGTCAGTGAATATCCTTTCCCAATCTACGGGCTGCTTTTTTGTCCTGCTGACTGTGTCCTTAGCCTTACAGAAGTTCCTCAGTTTCAGGAGGTCCCATTTATTAATTGTCTATCTCAGTGTCTGTGCTATTGGTGTTATGTTCAGGAAGCAGTC